CTTTCCCAGCAAAACCAGGAACAGCCCGTGAATACATCAACCACCCCAAGCATACTAACACAAAAGAATTTTTAGCCATCACCTTACCCTCATTCCCACAATACACCTTAAACACCCCCCACGACACTAACGAAACACGCAACTTTGTAGATGAATACGTTTTAATGCCCACTCTCTCTTGGACCTCATATTATCATTTTACTAATCCTCTTTGCTTACCTTTATCTAACACTCACATCGATAAAGAGCGAAATACGGACATGCTATATCGACTCACTACACCACTAACCGCTAGACAATTTACCTACGTTGGATATAAAAAATCACTAAAAACACACACTGCACCTAGAGCTAACGAATATACACTCGAATACTATGATCACAACATCATCAGAGCTAACCAAGATCAATTCTTAGACGACGATCGCTTCGCTAATCCACAAATTACCGAGAAATTTTTCATCAAGACACCATATATATTTACACTAAACATCTTCGACCGAAAGTTTGATCACATTATTTCAGAAGCACTAACAGACACACAAGCATACGAAAGTTTTAAAGAACGCTTCCAAATATTTTCACTAACCTTTCATTTCCTTGCACCACACGAAAGAGATTTACACTGCTCACACGATATTATGTTGCGCACTAAACAAACCCACACATATAGTTATTACCGCTTCATCCAAAATCACTTTGACCTACACACACCCTCTAGACAACCACACCATCGTTTTCAATTCATTAATTCCAAATACACTTCACCATTTTTCCTAAATTTCACATATTGTATTAAAGACACTAACCTCCATGGTATTCTTCGTAATTATGACCCCATAACCCAAATGTACATCTTCTGTCCCATCACCAAGACCTTCAACGCCGAAGAATCCCGACCCTTCCTTATCCCGCACGAGTTTGTACAACCCATAGAAATCCCAATTTTAGAATTCATCCACAACACTAAATTCAATCACAAATTATATAATCTAATCCAAAACACACCTTATGAGTTTGCAGTTGGCACTGAAGAACTAACCACTATCAAGGCACTCCAATTGCTTTGGCCACTGCTTCAGACTAAAAATATCATCCGCATCTTAGCTAAACTACTAACAACTTCAGAACTAATTCACGACATCTTCCCCCACGGTTTTTTCCCCGACGACTAAACAGGTAAGTATGAATTAAATGAATATTACTAACTAATTAAAATATTAAAAACTCACCATACTTTATTCATGTTTTCTTTAGATTTTTAGCCTTCATCCGACGATCACCTACAAAAACCACAAAAGACAAATAAAAATCGCAAATTTCATCAAACAGATTTCAAAAATTCTATTAATCTCTTACACTTATAAATTTATAAATTTAATACCAATGCAATAAATTCATTTCTAAAATTTTCCCCACAAGCAGTAAATCTAATTATAATGAAAATTTGTAACTTAAAATTCCCCCATAACTAGCAGTAAATTTCCAAATTCTATGCAGTAAATTAATAAAATGCAATTGCAGTACTAACCTTTTGATATTTTCATTCATTCGCACAGAAATTCTATCCACACTCGCACAGCTCGCCCACGAAGAATTGTTTAAAATAATGAATTTCAGTTTCAAGTTTTCACACTGAACAACTCTAACATATAATAACATGTTTCAAACCTTCCTTTAACCCGGTTGGAAAGGAATCATATACTAAACAAAACTAACCAACGCAGCTTACTAAATACCACAAATCATAGAATAACAGCATGACTAAGAAAAGGAAACCAACGGTACCCAAACCGGATTAACCCAGTTTAAAACTGGATAATTTATTCTTTTGAAGACTATTATAAAGTCTAAGAAAGAAATAATAAAACACAAAAAAGTCGAAAGACAAACCCATACCACAAACAATTTGATTTTTGGAAAAAGGACATAACCAACAAGACATAAGAAAAACCACAACAAACCCAACATAAAACGTTGTCACATAACAGGACCTCTCACAAAAACCGCATGAAATCATACTCCCACTCCTGGCCTAACCCACCAGGAAGGACGTCCTGAGCATGCTCTATAGCCGGCCTAACCCACCGTGCTACATCCACGCTTTGTGACCACACCTCTATTTTTAATAAGAGCTACTCAAGTGTGAAGTAGCTCTTATTATTAAAAAATATTAAACTAATAAATGTTTTATAAAATGTAAATTACATTATGCAATACATAGATCAGAATACAACACCAAGGACGAACATCAAAAGACAAAACGACCCCACCACACTCGAGAGAGAATGACCAACTACAATCAATATGCCGCTCACAATCACAACTCAAAGGATTTAGAGTACGACTTGACCTCGCAGAAAAGGACTTCATTGAACTAGACCAATGACCACCTCGATGACCCAAGTGTACGTACAGATCCGAGTAACCAGGCATCCCCTCCACGCACAATCTCCACGCCATTCCCAAGCTAGATCAGACACAAAAGAAGTTCTCCCCGAAGAACAGGAAAACCTGACATAGCCAACCATTCTGAAATCAGAATTGATTTTGTTGCAGAGATTCAGTCGTTGTCACAAGAAGAACACAACGTCTTATGTCCCTAACTCCAGCTTCCTGAAACTTCTTTAACAAAGAAGAAGCGGAAGAAAATTATGATGTTCACCAAATACCAACGTCCATCATCCATCCTTGAATTACAGAAGAACTGTTCTAAAAAACTCTGTAAAACCCGGATGGGTGGAACCTGATCTAAACTATATTTTATGATTGGATAAATTAAATGTTTTACCAATGTAAAGTATTTAATATTAACCAATCACGATCCATCTAACTAACAACCCACTTATTTGTAAGTGCTGAAGTTACTTGTAATTTCAGCACCAGAGAGATTTGAATTTAACTTAGAAATTAGTTGGACTCTCCCGAGCACTTCAGCAGCCGCAATAAACCAGTATACCCTAGATCTATTGAGCCTAGCAGAGACTAGTTAAACAACCTGAGACTAGATAGTATAAGAGTAAGATTAGGATCGGTATTAGACTAAGAAGTTGCACGAATCTATCCGGCCGAAAATAAGATAGCGTGACGAGCAGACGGTGTACCCTATCCGAAATTACTCTATGAGTTAACCACATCGGTCCTAACTCAAACTCGATAAGCGCCCTCTTCTCTGGTTTTGCTATTCAGTTTAGATTAACTTGAATTTCTTATACCACGCGATGTAAAATAAATTTTATTATCAACGTGCGCGAGAAAGAGCAAATTTTGCACTTCTGTTGCACTTCGAAATTTAAATGCGGGTGCTCTGAAATTCAAATGTGGAGAATAGAAAAGAGCAGAAAACTTAAACTCCTTCTGGGTTTAATGCCATGTTTCGTTGATATATTCTGAACCGAGCCACCTCGCGTCGATTGAAAAGGAGACGGGTCTGATCTAGAACTTAATAACGGGCTAAACAAACAAAATGAAGGCGGCGTTTTGGTGGTAAACAAATAAATATTCCATTACTTGCTTGCCCACAAATCAAACGAAAATAAGACTAACTGCTGAATGAACAGTGATTCAATATTCGGCTAATAATTTTCTTCTAATTGGGCGCCTCCTAATTGGGTACCTTGCTTTGTTTGCTTTACCTTATCTCATGATTGTCTAATAATTTCATTATGATGCCAGGCTCGGGTACTTTGATGGTGTTTTGGATTCCGCATACACTGTCCCTGGAATCCGCATAATTTGCGTTCGATTTCGCAACATTTCGAAAAATCTTTGAATCCAAAAATTTGATGGAATCGAAGGAAAAATGTTTATGCACTAGTTGGTAAAATTGAAATTTGCTAGCAAGCAAAAATTTGGAATCCACTGACAATGTGGATTTTGGAGACATATGCTAAGACACCCTTTGTTTTGGATTCCTTACACAAATGTATTTTGCAGTTGGAGTAAACTGAAGCGAAATGTCACTGGATTCCACTGTTTGTCAGTGGATTCCGCGATTAACTTTTGTTCCGACCTTCGTAACGAAAATAACGGAATATTTGTGCTCGGGTGGGTTTTTCAGACAATGTTTAACTTTTTAACTAGTCATTTTGACGGAATTTTTTATATCATTCAAAAGGTGTTTGTTGTTTTGCTGAGCTTAAATTTGGAAGGATACTTCACCTGTGACCATTTTTTCTTTAACGAATGCGCTTTTGGCCATTTTGGGACAATTAACGCACGATATATTTCGCGCTATTAACGCGTAAGCGTAGATTTAATCAGTCTTAGAAATCGTTCCCAATTGGTTCAAGGAGGCTGATTTTTCATAATTCATTTGTTAACTGGAGCGAAATCTTTTACTTTGTACTTCAAATGGCGCACTGGGAGATGATTTTTACAAAGATCTCAAACTTTTAGAAAAAATTCAGTTTTTTTATTCGTTACTTTAAATTGTTTCATGTTATTACTGCTCTACAGACAGACTTTAAAAGGCAATCGGAACCTTCAGGGTTTCCCCCTGATAGAAGCAGTCTTGTTTTTTTTTGTCAGTGGATCACCGTTCATTGACTGGAAAGTCTCATTGTCAATCACGGGTCTAGGAAAGCAAGCCGACGGGACTTAAGTTCATAATAAGTTTATAATAAGTGTTCTCCATAACAATGCACCATCGGATAGTTAGATCAGCCGGAAATTGAAAATTATATTTTATACTCATGAAAAACCACTTAAACATGTTTTAACTTTTAATATTCCTCAAGATCAAATAGAGACTCAAAAATATGAAAAGTCAATATGAAAAGTCACTAAAAAACTAAGAAATTCTTCATAACAGTTTTCAAATTAATCATGTTTCATGACTTTTTGGCAAATAGTTCGGCTTGAAGTCCCTAATTTTATGATTCGGCTCAAAATTCGGTCAACTTGGTGTCCGGCAAACCGCACACATCGTTATGCCTATTTAATGCTTTTTAAAAACAATAATGAAATAGTGAAACTATTTATATTAAATTTCCTTTTAGGTTAAAGAAATCTGGAGCGATTCATCGATTGAATGGAAAGCACCCGATCGACCGAGTCGCTGTACTTGGCATTTGGGAGTAAACCCCAAGGACTCCCCCCACAATCACATTCCGGTTTCGAAGCCAGAGCAACTGAAGACAGTGCAGACATCCACGGATCTGATTGGGCTGACTCCGATGGTTCGTCTGAACAATATTGAGAAGTCGGAGAAGTTGGATGTCGAGTTGTGGGCCAAGTGTGAATATATGAATGCCGGGGGTAGTATCAAAGACAGGTAAATTATAACTTAATGTTCAATCTTCGTCTATATAGACTTTGTGACTCTCTTCTCGTTTCCTACTAGAGAAATTTTCGCTCTAATTTTTTTGCACTTTTTAAGAGTCCGGAACGTAGTGAAGAATCTTTTTTAAGTCTTAGTGATTTTTTGTTCGTTTTTTTTTCAGGAAAAAGTCTTAAAATTTGTTCACGCTCAAATGTACTTTTTTGTGGTTTGACTTTTTTTTCAAGTTTATTTCATTTCCTTAGTTAAAAGGAAGGCAAACTTTACTATCGAACAGCAAAAGTGTAAAGGTCACGAAAAAAAGGATCAACTTCTAATTTCGCTTCCTTGCGTTCTTGACTACTTTACAACTGTCTGTTCCCTAGTCGAGATTTTTCACCCAATTTGAAGCAAGATTTGAGCGGTTTGAGCGGTTTTTATAGACAATTACGCTCAAAATCTTGCTTCAAAATGAGCGGTTTGAGCGGTTTTTGAACGGTTTATCTGAAAAAACCGCTCAAATCTTGCGCGGTTTGTGAGCGGTTTTTTTATATAAACTGCTCAAAACCGTTCAAATCTTGCTCGGTTTTTGAGCGGTTTTTTTAGTTAAACCGTTCAAAAACCGCTCAAACCGCTCATTTTCAAGCAAGATTTTCAGCGCAATCGTCCAAAAAAACCGCTCAAACCGCTCAAATCTTGCTTCAAATTAGGTGAAAAATATAGACTCGGGTTGTCTTTTTTGCAGATTATATGACGTTTAAAACTTCATAAAAAACTAAAAACGTCATTAATCTATATGAGATGGTGTGTATAAAAGTAGAAATTTACTACACTTTTATTCAAATTTATGAAGATGAGTGATATAGGAAATCATACAAAGAGGAAAAATTACCAACTGAAAAGTTTAGTCTCATATTTTGTTCAGTGTAACCGTGAATAAATTATTTTCGTGGTCACTGAAAATCATTTGAGAAGAATGCGGAACTACTTTTTCGGACAACAAACTCTTTTACGTCTTCTTCCACTCATCTACCGCAGAGTTCGGGACTAGCACTGCAGCGATGGTAAAATATTCACTATTCAAGAATGGTCCACGTGCTCCCTCTTTATAATGCCATCAAGATCCCTTGTAATCAGAGATCCAGTTTGTTTTCTGACATGTTGTTTTCATGCTGTTCTGAAGTGCTGTATAGTCCTGCGATTTGCTTTTCAGTTCAGACTCAATGTTCCCGACTTCTTTAACAATGTGATCTAACAAACTTTTTAGCAAAGTCCCACGTGAAGTGCTCGAGATTCGCTCTATATGCAGATCGATTTGCAACCATCAAGTGGTCTTCCAAACTATCCGCCTGGGTCTTCAAGATTTCGATCAAATATGATTCCAACTTTAAATTGCAGATAGTATTTCAACTGCATCTTAGCGTCACATTACCTTTCCAGGCCTTTTTGTTGGTTTTCTTTATAAGACCGCTCAAAAACCTCTTAAAAACCGCTCAAAACTTGCTTGAAAAACCGTTCAAAAATCACCGCAAGAAATGAGCGGTTTTTGAGCGGTATTTTAAGCAAGATTTGAGCGGTTTGAGCGGTTTTTCCAAAAAAAACGCCCAAATAGCTCAAACCGCTCAAATCTTGCTGGGAAACCCCTCAAACCGCTCATATCTTGAGCGGTTTTTGAGCGGGATCTCGACCCGGGTTGGCTATATGCTTTTTACTGAAAATTAAGCAATTCAGCGCATATTCTTTTATCTCGCTGCTTATTCTTTTTACTGAAAGAATAAGTGTTACTGTGCGAAGCTCAAGCTGCAATAGAAACCCTAAAAGTTCATTTAGCAGAAACCAAACAGACTTTGACTTTAGGATTGCGAAGCGGATGGTGGATGACGCTGAGAAGGCGGGTGTTCTCAAAGAAGGATCCACCATCATAGAGCCTACTTCTGGCAACACTGGCATTGGACTGGCACTAGTGGCTGCTGTGAAGGGATACAGGTGCATCATCGTCATGCCGGAGAAAATGAGCAACGAAAAGGTAGGCATGGATCTTTTTTGAAGAACGCGGACTTTTTCACGTGTACCTAACTTTTGGAGTTTTTAGCTGGCTGAATAGTTTTGCATATGGAGCTGTAATAAAAACGTTTCGAATTTGGCTTGGTGTTCTAAATTGGGGATAATACGAAGCCTTCGATATACAAACGGTGTATATGGAAGACATAGTTATAGCACATAGTTATATATAATATAGACAGATAAATGGTTTTAGTCTCTTTTTCTTTGCCCCCACCTCGCACGAGCATCAACTTCGTGGTGTAACGAGTAGTTTTACAAGGTTGACGACCAAATATGTTTTTAGTGGCTTAGTTATTCCGCATGTCAATTTTCATAGCAATCGGATACCGCGAACAATAATTTTACTTGTAAAAACTTGCAAGTGGGAGGGGAGGAGGAAAAAGAGGCCGGTGTTAAAGAATCTAACACTGTGGCTCAATGCTAAAAAAACTTTGATGGGAGTCTTCTTTCAAAGACACAAGGGGCGTATCTAGGTTTTTTCGGACGGGGAAGGGGCTGATTAGTCAAAAGACCTTTTTGGTCAAACTTTTTGGGCACTTTTTAGGTACATTTAGGCAATTTTTGGACAGTTTTGACCAAACACTCGTGTTTTTTCGACGCGCGCTCTTTGCTCTCCCTCAATATAATATTATATTGATAAGTTGGCGCCAAATGCTTCTTTAGAACATTTTTAGGGTCAGCCAGCCAAAAACGGAGGTCTTACAGGGGACCTTTTGGGCAGTCAGGGGGTCGAAGCCCTGAGATGGGGGTGGGGAGGGGGGGGGGGGTAAATTAACCTTTCCAATCCGCTACTGAAAGGCAGCGCTATGAACAAAAAAAGTAAAAAGAGGTCATAACACGACGATTTTTTGCTCAGGTGAATATTCTCCGCGCCTTGGGAGCTGAAATTGTCCGGACCCCGACATCTGCCCGGTACGACAGTCCCGAATCTCACATCAGCGTCGCCCAAAAACTATGCCAGCAGATTGAAAATTCAGTCATTTTAGACCAGTACACAAACGCTTCCAACCCTCTTGCTCACTATGACGAAACGGGCGAGGAGATCTTGATCCAAATGGATCACAAAATCGACGCAATCGTACTCAGTCCAGGAACCGGAGGAACTGTAACCGGAATAGGTCGGAAACTCAAAGAGAAAATACCTGAAATCAAAGTAGTTTGCGGCGACCCTTATGGTTCGATTTTGGCGCCAGCAGAAATGAATTCGGGCGGGAAAAATGAAGAAGGGTTCTACGAGGTCGAGGGAATTGGGTATGATTTTGTTCCGACTGTGCTGGATCAAAGTGTGGTCGATGTGTGGTATAAAACAGCAGATCCGGAGTCGTTTGAATGTGGTCGGAAACTTATGCGTCAGGAAGGGTTGCTAGTTGGAGGTAGTTCTGGGACTATTTTGTCAGTGGCGCTCCAGCAGGCGAGGAAGATGCCGAAGGGATCTCGACTCGCGATGGTGTTTCCTGACTCCATCAGAAACTACATGACCAAGTATCTCTCAGATGACTGGATGATTGAAAGGAGTTTCATGGAAGATCCTCTCGAACAGGTATGAATGTAAACCTATTTGTATAACAATGGCAAACGAACCTTCTTTTCTTTTTGCTATACTGGTTTTGTACTGCCATCGAAATTGTCTAAAATGCGCCAAAAACCGCTTTCCGAACCATTAAAACAATTGCAACAGGATTTGATGGTTTTTGTTTGTCCAGACCGAGAAATGGTGGCGCAAAAAGTTGGTGAGCGACCTTCCAGCTGTCATCCCAGAGACGGTCGGACCCACAGTCCCATGCCAGACAGTGCTGACTCGGATGCGAGACCTGGGAGTAGACCAGATCCCGATAGTCCAGTCGGACGGAAACATCGTCGGCGTCGCTACTCTCGGAAACATCATGGCCAAGGTCATAGCCGGTGTCACTCAGGAATCAAGTCCGGTATCCGAAGTTATCTATCGCCAGTTCTGCAAGGTGTCTCAAAGTTGTACTTTGGGAAAGATATCCAAAATTTTGGAATCGCACTCTTTTGCACTGGTGGTGAATAGTCAGAAGTGCTGGAATGACGACAATTCATTCAAGACGAAAGAGATGATAGTTTCGATTGTGACCAGAATTGACCTGATGAATTACATTGTGAGCAATCAGTTCAACCAATAAATTATTTTTAAAAGTAAGTTAAAAGCGCTGGAATTAAAAACTTTTGACAGTAAAATCAATGGTAGATTCGTTACAAGAGACGCTTTGTGTTATTATTTGAATAGTATATTTTGCAATTAAACAATTTTGCAGCAGTTTGATGATCATTTGTAGAAAATAGCTATTAGATTTATGTAAAAGCAAATCAAGATAATTTACAATTTATTTGGTTCCATAACGGTGCCGGCATAAACTTGGACAGAAAGCTAATTAATATTCCATCATTGCGGTTTTTCTATTATATTTTCCTTTAAAGTAATTTTTTTTAAAAAAAAACGTTGATTGAGTTTCTATATTCTGTTTGTTTTCAGCTTTTTGCTTACGCAAGCCCTGCAAGTTTTGCGATCTTGAAGATCGGTAAAAAATGTTTAAAAAATTCTGAGAACTTTTTAAAACCCGGGGGATGCCAGCGCTTTAGAGATGAATTATAAAAGATTTGAAAATTGATTTAGCCCAATTTAAGAGCTAAAAATTAAAATTCATCGAGTTTTCAACGGACTTGTTTGTTGTTTTGGTATGAAATTCGGTGTATTATACTAAATAAATAAGAAAATTTTTTTGTAAAAAAATGCTAATCATACAATTTCCATATATGGAAATTATATAACTAGCATTTTTTTGATGTCAACTGCAGTTTTCCAAGTTATTTTGAAATTGCCCTAAAACTTTTTTTGTAATTATTTTCAACCGCAAATCGAATTTTTTAATCAAACAAACATCTTCCAAAATTTTTTTGCTCTTAAAATTTATTTTCTTGTGTGCATTACGAAGTCCTGGATTCACTAATATTGGATTTTTTCCTTTTCGTCAAATAATTTTTTTTCAAAACGCTAAGAACCCAAATTACTTTTGTATAGCATGTTTAAGTATGCCTTGATCAAAGTCTGATAATTTAAAAACTCAAATTTTGAAATAATCATTGTTGAAAACTTTCGCCAAAATCTAAAAGTTTGAAACTTTCGTTATATTAATTGTGTAGACAGAAAGAATTAAGACAATTCAGGCCGTTTACAATGCAGTTTTGATGCAAGACGGTCAAAATTTTTGGTTATTCTACGTTTGAGTAACCAAAGTGTTTGCCAATTGTGTTCAATTACAAACACAACCGAAAAAGTAAAAGAAATTAACATGTAAAAACTCAATAGTTTTGGTTTATGGGAAAATGCTAGTCATACAATTTTTCTTTATATGAAAAATCACTAATCAGTCCTTTCATGCAATTTTCTGTACTTATGGAAATATGGAAACTTTAAACTTAGTCGTGAAACAGAAACTACCTTTCATTATGTTTTTACACAAACCTAGCTACCACAAATAAACGTGTTATAGGGTTGAAAAATATTCTATTTTATTGTTATTTTTTTGTTTTGATTGTCGAAGAAAACAGAATCTTTTTGCTTGGGAGGAATTTTAGTCAATTTCTGGCAAGCAAAAAAAAATTTTAACAAAAAAGTTTACGGCCTATTGACGGTATCGTCTCCCTGAAATCAAATGTCAAAAAATGTTTTTAGCTCCGATCATTTTTTGCAATCTTCTGGGATTTTAAAATATGTCTGTTCGGCCATGCGCTGGATTAATTTAGGCGAGCTTTGAAGTTTTTTTAAAGGCTGAAAGAGTAACGTATTTTATTTAAGCATGGTGAATTATCCTGCACAACTAAATTGTTCCTAATTGAACTGAGCTTAGGTAATCAGTCATACTCAATAGTTTTTCAAGATCTTTGTTTTCCAAAAAAAACATTCGAAATCTATTAAGTTAGAATTGTATGGAATTTTTAGACTTTGCTCTGATATACGAGCAGTATTGTTAGCTATTTTGATCAATTTTTAAAACTTTCTAAAAAAAGTTAACCAAATTTGACAAAAACTGGTTCAATTAATTAAATCGTTTGAATAATTGACCTAACAGTCACTTCATTTTGATTCAAATCAAGCTAGTGAAACTTGAAAAGTTTCTCTGATCATACTTTCTGAAACTATTGGTGGCTATTTGGAAATTAATTATATCCCTCTTGTCTGAATAAATGACTGACGTTTAGAAAAATTTCAAAACTTTTTTTGGCAAGAAAATTTTTAGCTGGAATCCTATTAGCTACTTGCACAGTACCCGTCTAAATTTTTCATTTTTATTGAATTTTTTTTTTCAATTTGTACATCCCAAATAAAAGTCAGACAAGTTTTGCTTACTTGTATTACTGGAACCTCATCGTGACGGGAGTTGCAGTGGAAAATAATACCTTATAGTTTCAATAAATGTTTGCTTCATTTATTCCGTATGATGGCAAGTCAGTAGATTAAATTAGTATGATAAGCTGTTACTAGCTAGTTAAGCTAGTTTCGGGAGTTACTATTCAGTCGTCAAACTTCTAGGAAATATCATTGAAGCGTCAGAAAAAAATTCAAAATACTCGACAAATCTCGTTTGAAAAGCAATTCTCTCAGGATATTTTTAATAGGAACACATATTCGACGTTTCGAAGAAAGTGATTGATTGTTTTTGCTTTATGTCGTCTAGTTTTTTGATGAAATTGACTCTCTAAACAAACAAATTCTTCCCAGTTCGACTAAAACGTAGGTTTTTTTGAGACCATTCTTTCTGAGCTTATGATGTGTACTTTTCCCAGTTATCAAAAACCAAAGTTCGACTTAAACTATTTCGAACAGAATTTAGTTTTTACACGCGCTCTGATAATCCAAAATTTAGACTTATGCTGTTCACTAGAAGAGTTTTTGTGGTTGAAACTAAACATCCAAATTTGCAATGGAATCTGGAAAAGGAACCTGCTCATTAAAATTAGGTAGAAACTATAGCAAGATTATTCTTGTTTCCTTCTCATCAAACTTAGTTTATTCAGGAAAATATATTCCAATAAAGCTCCAATGAACAGAATAGCAGTTGCAAGAGTACAAATTTAGCTTTTGCTGGAACTTTTCATGGAAATCCTTACAACTAAACTAACAATCCTTACAATCCTAAAACTAAAAACAATTTTCTTGAGAGACTCTAGAATAATTTGGGTTTGAAGGCACAATTCTTCATTTATACAAAAATTTTCATTGTCGAACCTATGTTACAACAAGGAAGCAAGAAAATTTTGAAGAATTTTGAGCTCTCTCTTTTTTTCCATTTTGACTATGTTCTAGTTTTTGACCTGAAAACTATGTTTTAGCTTTTGACCTGATTTCACTACAAGATGCAACTAAGCGTTGCAGTATTCAGAATTTAGCGGAGAAAGCTTGTGACTAGAAACGTTTTCCAATTTCCCTTGGGCCAATTGACGGAAGCGATGCTATTGGGAGAAAAATTATCAAACACTCAGGTTGAAAAATTAAGAACATCCGCCAAAAAAAATATTTATCCCTCAAAAATTTTGAAATTTTTTTTGGGTTTTTTTTTCAGTTCGACTCTACTTGTAGTGTCTATTATGTTTTTCTTCAGCACTAAATCTGCAGAAAAAGTAGACAATGAACTTTTAGAGTAAAAAAAACTGAGAAACTTCAACAACCTAGACAGAAAAGCAGTGTTCAACAATCTTTGTCCCGTACATAAAGCATGTGTAAAGTACTTTGAGGATGTATTTTTGAAATTAATTTCAGTCAACCACCTCATTTTTTTTATACTGTGTGTAATGAAATGATCATTTTTTTCCTTTTAAGATGATAATCAACCATCAGGTGTACAGATCAAAAACTTTTCACTTGTGCAAATTTTGGATAGAGTTCCTGAATTTAGGTTCAAATTTATCGGATCAAATCCAGCTGATCATTTTTATCAACTGCCAAATTACTCAATTGCAATTATCAACCCAACTCCAAGCAATATTAGAGGAGAAAAATGGAGGTCGATTGCACGATTAGACAAGAATTTTTTTATTGCAGATTTGAGGCGAGGACAACCGTTCAACTATCCCTTTTTAATGAAAAATAGCAGCGCGTTTTGAAAAAAAAATCAAAAAACTGATTGATGCAAAATCACCAGCATTTCTTTTTTAAAAATCTATCAGAAGAATTTTTCTTGATGTCTATGTTTTTATGTTTTTCAGTAACTTAATGTAAGAATCAAGATGAATTTTCATGTGAATGTAAGATGATGCCAAGAAATTGTACTCAATGCGTTGACGTATAAATTTTATCTTTAAAATTTTCCTTTTCTTGTTTTATTTTCTTCTTTTTTAATCAGGAAATTATAGAAAAAACGCAAAAAAACTGATTTTTTTAATACTGGGAGAATTCAGTTGCATAAAACCAATAGAAATCAAATAATTGTGATTAAATATAACGATAGTTTTGAAAACAAATTTTTTCCAGACACTTTTTTTTTGCTTTTTTAATACTGGGAGAATAAAGTTTCATAAAACCAATGGAAATAAAATAATTATGAATGAATATAATGATAATTCTGAAAACGAATTTTTTCCTGACAGTTTTTTTTTATTTCAATACCAATCTCCAATCTTTTCAAAATTTTACTCTGGGAAAAAAATTCTAAAAGATTTCAATATCCACAGACTAAAGATTTTCATTTTTGTCAGAATAAGCTTTAAAAGACATTTGATGTATATTGATGATTGAGAAAGAAGGAAGATAAGGTCTAGCGGTGATGAGAGATTTTTACCTTATCATTTTTGAAAAACGAAATCAACAAGAAACCAGTTTCTAGAGTTAAAAGTGAGCAAATGAACTTTGATCTCTTTCTGCTGTTGCCGAAACTTACCCTATTTGTTGTAATAATTGTTTCACATTTCAAAAAAAACTAAGGCTTCCTCAAGTTAATAAAAGTGACACTTCAAGAATCTTTATGATTTGTTTGTTAATTTGTGTATGTTAATCAGCGTCCTCACTCACCGCGGGGGATAACATCTGTTGCTGCAAAATTGACATATTTGTCGGAGAATTTTTTCTACGTCTACTTTCTCGCTTACAAAAACAAGATAAATTTTGCCTATTTTTTTCAACGTCCTCATTCACCGCTGAGGGGAATAATTGTTGATGTAAATTTGACATATTTGTCTGAGAAAGTTTTCGCTTAAGTCCACTACTTTGCTTCAAAAAACAAGTATGAAAATTTGACTGAGAAAATTTGAATTGCTTCTGAAAACGTTTATCTGAAGCATACCATCAAAAAATATATCCCATTCTGATCATGGGATTTTAACAGTCCTGTATAGAATCTTAAGCATTGCTGTATCGGTAAAATCGAGCGCCAAGAAAGCTTAG